AACATAGGCTTCCTCCTAGCAATTATATCTTATTGTCATTTAGGAGAATAAAATACCTATGCTTCCTACAACGAATCCTCTACCATCCATCCCCAGTATAGTAAGTAGCTCATGCCTTCTTGCTTCTGGAGTCAAACTTTGAAGTAGTCAGTGATCATCTGAGCAAGGCAAAAGTCCTGGACCTGATACTTCCGATCACTTCTCACACCCTTCCACTCACAGCCCTGGGAATGCCGGCAGCCATGAGCTTTCTTGAATCTAATCAATCAACAGCCAGTCTCCTTATGGCCACTGGCCCACACTTCCTCTTGCTTCCTTCCCCATTTCCTCAATTTTGATCCTAAAAGGATCGAATTACACAAAAAGTTACAAAAATACTAAAAAATATCAAAGAATAAACAAAAATATCCTATTGAAAAATAAAATGCTAGCCGGGCAGTGGTGCCACATGCCTTTAATCCCAGCACTCAGGAGGCAGAGGCAGGCGGATCTCTGTGAGTTCAAGGCCAGCCTGGGCTAGAGATTGAGTACCAGGCCAGCCAGAGCCGCACAGAGAAACCCTGTCTCGAAACCACCCCTGCAAAAGAAAAAGAAATAAAAATAAAGTATTAATACACATGCGACTCTTAGTCTTTTTATGTGCTTTTTAACATATTTAATTTCCCCACCATGCCAGAGACACACTTAAGGGAATTGCTCTTGTCTCCATTTTATTTTATTTTTGTTTTTTTTGAAACAGGGTCTCACTATTTAGCTTTGGGTGTCCTAGAACTCATAATGTAGACAAGGCTGGCCTCGAACTCATAGAGATCCACCTGCCTCTGCCTCCCGAGTGCTGGGATTAAAGGTGTGCAAACACTATGCCAGGCTTGCCTCCATTTTATGAATGAAGAAATGAGTGGGTTTGAAAAGGCCAAATCACATATTTCTTTTTTCTTTCCTTTTTTTGATGGGGAACATGGTATTGAACCTAGCCCTATATATTTTAATCCAATGTTCTGTTCTAACACCAGGGTTCCGCTGACAGGGTCTGTTTCTCTATAGTGGTATGTACTTCAAATATTTAGAAAAGATGAATGCTGTTAGTTGGAAATTTGTCTGACTGTATACATCCCTTTTAATTAAGGCTTTATTGTGATTCTGAAATTTCTTTAAAATAAGTATTTCTTTATAGTTCAAAACTCATTACTGATTTTAATGTACCACCAACAAAGACATCAGCATGAATGAAATCTGGTGAGAAGTATTACTCTTCCATTCTGCAGGAGTTCAAAAGGCCAGGGCTTACAGAGAGTGCGAACCATGAGTCAGGAACAGAGACTGGCGGTGCCTCTCCTGATGGCTATCTTTCAAATTACTGACCTGGTAGTGTAAACACGAGAAAACACGGTGAAACTCAAGTCCCTGACGATGACACAGTAAACCATGAACTAGGGCATCCACATGCCTGAAAACTGGAAGTTCCTGCATACACATTTAAATATTACCGTGACAAGCTCCACTGAGCTCCTCTGGTCATTTACTCTCCAGGCTGTCACAGTGCAGAATCCAAACACTGAGGTGCCATATCTTAAAACCAATCTAGTGCACATGTATGGAAAATTCCGAAGTATTAATGAACATAGAAGTCATGAATCTCATTCAACTGCCATCTGTTTGCGATCAGTACAAAAGGTCTCTAAACTCAAAAGCAGCATAGATCTCTGTGTACAAAAGGTAAAAAGTTTTGGTCACTGGTTCTAGGCATGAATATGTCAGTATTCCAACATTCTAAAATGCTGCCTGTCATCTGAAATGGTAAGAATAGACAAATATATTTTTCAAAGATAATCTCATGAAGAGATGATCAAGCAAAGGACAGCGTCAACACACTCCTCATCAAACGGACAAGTCTGTCCGTGAACGGTTAGCCGAAGGTCGAAGAACTGGAGAACTGATTGCTTTGAGAGATAAGCATGAGGTGGGGAGAGATGACATATTGGCTCAGAGCACTGGGGTTCTTTCCGGAGGACCCAGGTTCAATTTCTGGCCCTCACATGGTGGCTCGCACCTACCTGTAAGTTGAGTTTCAGGGGCTCTAACAGCCTCTCAAATAATAATAAATAAAGACCAACAACTCCAAAGGCAGAGCCTTGCTCATCTGCAGATATACACCTCCTTAGGCACCAGGCACGGCACACAAGAGGCAGACAGATACACATGCAGGCAAAATACCCATACATACAAAATACTAGAGTAGATTAAAAATCAACAGGTAACAAATTACAGATGCAATATCAAGCAGATGTATTTCAGTTATGCACCAGTTTTCAAATGTCATAGGACATCAACAAAGTATTTTTCTTTTTTTCGAGACAGGGTTTCTCTGTGTAGCTTTGCACCTTTCCTGTATCTCACTCTGTAGACCAGGCTGGCCTCGAACTCACAAAGATCCGCCTGCCTCTGCCTCCGGAGTGCTGGGATTAAAGGCGTGTGCCACCACCGGCCGGCTTAACAAAGTATTTTTCAATGCTAACGTGACTTCCTCAAAGGATCAAAAGTAATGCCAAATAATATGAAAACCATACTTGTGGAGAACCACATGGAGAATACAGGGTAAGCACAAGGCACTGATGTGGTAAGAGGACTATGCCTCAAGAGTCTGCGTCAGGAACAATGAAACCCTTTGGAAGACCACTGTCGGTTTAATAAATGTGAGTAAGACACTGAATTCCTTCTTTGTAAAATTGCCAGTCAACATTGGGCAGTAAACTGCTGTATTAGGAGCTCTAAACTTGAGGTTCATCTCCTTTGGGCTGTGTGGGGTGTGGGTATGGGGTGGGGGGAGTCCTGTGAGTTTTTCGAATTCCATCTTACAATTTTCAGAATGTGAGTCTAAGGACACTTTTCTGGAGGAGTACTCAGCTCAAAATAAATAAAACTGTAGAGCTGGCTTGGTGGTTAAAAGCACTTCTAAAGAACCCGGATTTGATTTCCAGCATCCATATGGCAACTCACAACTGTCTGCAACTCCAGTCCCAGGGGATCTGACGGCCTCTTCTGGCCTCCATGGGCATTTTATGCACATGGTATACTTATACACATACAGGCAAAACATCCATATACATCAAAAAATTAAAATAAATGGATGAATAAAGACCAACCACTGCAAAGGCAGAGCCTTCCTTATCTGCAGATACACACCTAGAACTTGGCTGATCTAACAACCCATAATACTGAAGTTAAGGAAGTTACTTTTACTTTTCAAGTTTAATCATACAAGTATCTTAAAGCAGAGCTATCATAATTCAAGAGAGCATAAGGGCATAGAAATGATACTGATAAACATTCAATATTGACAAATACCTGTGGAATTCCAGGGTTGGGAGAACAGACTCTAAAATCATTTAAGAAGTATGAGATTATCCTGAAAGGTTTCTCTTCTTTAGGCTGCATTTGGACTTATACATCTGGACAGACTTCCCTGTATTTCCCTGTATTTATTTAAAATAACAATCCCCCCTCCCCGTATGTTGGGAATTGAACCCAAGGTCATGAGCATGCAAGGAAATATACCTACTTTGAACTGATGATAATCCTCCTGCTTCAGTCCCCTACATGCTGGGATCACAGGTGTGATCAAAACATGTAGCCCTAGACCTTTCTGTTTCTTTCTTTCTTTTTAAAGGAACATATGGAGGCACCAGAATAAATAGACAATATATTGAAAGAATTAGTTTTAAATAATTTATTTCATCTCCTATTGTTGAATATGTGTGTGTGATATGTGACCGTGTGTGATATGTGACCGTGTGTGTATGCTTGAAAAAAAAGTATCAATGAATGCACACAGATTCCAAATTTAGAAAACTGTCTCTTAATTTCTGTTGCCAGTATATTTAAAACATTAAGTGATTACAGATTAATAATGTAAATAATAGTTAAATAGTAATAAGTTTTTAACATAAACCAAAAATAGTTTGGAATTAGCTAAATGGGTAAATGTAGTGCACTCAGTTGAAAATAAATGCTTCTATTTTTTATACTTGTAGTGGAACCCAGGGCCTTAAGATAAACATAGTTTTTGGTTGTGAATATAGTGCAGTGGTATAGTGCTTGCCTGGCATAATCATGAAGCCCTAGATTTAACCAACAGCCCTGAAAAAAACAAAGAAAAAAAGAAGGGAAAAACAAAGAACAACAAAAACAAAGCCAAAAATCACTCCTGTGGCCCGAGGAGACAGGCGGATCAGTTGGACTGAGGACTTGAGTTCAAAGCCCAGAATCTGCTCTAAAAACAGCTCTGGTGGTGGTACCTGTTTGCAGGTGGGTCCTTGGGGGTTGCTGGCCAGCCTGACTCACCTAACCAGTGAGCCCCAGGTCTTAGCGAGAGACCCTGTCTTCCAAAAACAAGGTGGACGGTTCCTGAAAAACATTACATGCTGACCTCTGGCCTCCAAACACATGAACACACACACACACACACACACACACACACACACACACACCCCAGTCACTTTTCATTTCAATCTACTGCACATATCTTTCTCCTGGAGAAGTTTTCTACACAGTCATTTATTTTTTCGTGATAGGCTCTCATGAAGCCCAAGGTGGCCTGGAACTTGTTATGTAGCCAAGGCTGGTCTTGAGCTCCTGATCTTCCTGACTCTTTCCCAAGTGCTGGGTTACAATTAGCATGCCACCACACCCAGCTCTGCATGGCTGTATTACTTGTGATTTTCATTTGAGGCTTGAAAAGGGAGGTATCCCCAAGCAGTGGTAGAAAAGGAACAAAGGTTCGAGGTGGCTAGAAGACGCTGTTCCTCCACGAGCAGATCTTCTACAAGATCGTTCATCAGTGGACTAACCTTCAAGTGAGAACACAGTGTGAGAGGAAAGAAAACTGTGTCTCTGCAGGCTTACCACATGTTCAGCTTGTGAAAAAATCAGGCAAAGAGAGAAACCTGAGAGCAGCCAAGATGTAAGAAACAATGGGTGGGTTTGCCATGCAAACTGCTCACCTGCGCACAAATCTGATGCATGACGTGACCGAACTCATGGAAGAAAGTCCGCACCTCATCGTGTCTCAGGAGAGAAGGCCTGCCTGCTACGGGCTGTGAGAAGTTCACTACCAGGGCGGCCACAGACATCATCCGGCTGCCATCGGGAAGAAGGCAGCCTGGCTGAAGACCAAAGCAGGCGGCATGGTTGTATTTTCCTTCCCTGGGAGACAGGAACAAAGAACAGTGACATGGACACTCTTCTTTAGCAAAACATGTCATGGCCTCTTCTAGGCATTAAGTGATACTCGACACCAGAAGATACATTTCCATGTTTAGTTCACCTTTTAGAACACAGAATGCTTCGCCCTGCAGAGAAAGTCAAATAAAACAATGACCCAGCCTTCTAGGATTTTGCTTGTTTTAGCTTAATCTTTAAATTTGTATATATTTTTTCTGTATCAGTGTTTTTCTTGGTCCCCTGTATTGCCTCCCCCTCACATCGATGCCATTCAAAGAAAAGAAATAATTTTGGTTACTCTTCGGATGCATAAAATCGGGTAGGGAATTGTTCCCATCTTGATTCCATCGTGGACATCCTCGACTCCATTCTGAGAGTTCCAGCTTTTCTGAACCCATCAGAGGACTGCTGTGGAAGAGCAATCAAGAAGCCCACAATCTAGCACAGGTATCTCCAAGGAAAGAGGAGAGGAGGCTCTCCCAGACCCCCACAACTTAAGTTAGGGCAGACACTGGACACCACAGGAAGAGGAAATTTCACCCAACCATTAAAGGTCAGTGCTGGAGTAGACAAAATGCGGGACCACAGGACTGTGCCCAAGGGAAAAGCATCATCATCATCTACAGTATCAGAAAAGGGATGGGGATGGGCATACACGCCTGAGACAGCATCAGTTGGGGAAAGGGTGTGAAGCATCATTTAGATGCTTTTTCATTTGTCTCTTACAGACCAAGGGCCTTAATATCCCCAGGAAGGAAGAGATCTTGCTGTTAGAGCAGCCATGCAAACCCAAAGCTCTTGGGGAACAGAACAGGAAAAAAAGTCTCTGCGGGCGGAAATACATATGCTTGGACTTACAGCTGTAGATGAGGCAGGACCACTGACCAGGCCCTACTCCTAAAACAAAGGACACAGAAGCTACCCTGATTAAGGCTGCTGCTGGCCAGGTGTGGTGGCACACACATGTGATCCCAAGTATCCAGTAGGCTCACACAGAAGGATCAAGAGTTTGAGTTCACTCTGGGGTACTTAGAGATACCCTGTCTCAGGAAAAGGAGAGGAACGAAAACCAGAAACAACAAAGGACAGGCTGACGCTGGATCAGAGCAAATAGAGATTTCCCACCCCCTAAGCAGGCTAATAACAGCCAGTAACAAGTCATGGCAGCTCACTGTTTTTAGAGCGCTTGGATGAAGACCTGCTCTGAGGAACTGCACAGAGACGCAGTGAGAAGTGGAAGAGACTCATGAAAAACTTGGGCAAATCAATTCTAAACACGATCTAAAACAAGGGGAAGCCGGGCAGTGGTGGTGCATACCTTTAATTCCAACACTGGAGGCTAGCCTGTTCTACAGAGCGAGATCCAGGACAGGCACCAAAACTACACAGAGAAACCCTGTCTTGAAAAGTCAACCAACCAACCAACCAACCAACCAACCAACCAACCAACCAACCAACCAACCAAACAAATAGAACAAGGGTAAGTCTGCAGCATGTGGAGGTTAATCAAGGCAGTGGTTAGGCTCTGGAACCTAAGTGACTACGAAATGAACCAAAACCCCATATGAAAGGCCTAGCAAGAGTAAATGTGGGGCCAATTTTAGGCATAAAATTATTAACCTTACTCTTCACTGTCCTATTCACATGCCAGGCTTTAAGTCAACCCGCGAGAAATACAAAGACGCAAAGCAACAAGGGACTCATATTCACACAGAGAACTACGACTACATTTGAAATAACAAAGTAACCAGACTAAGAAGCCAGAAGGTTTGGATGCTAGGTGCGGTCAGGTGGATAAGTTCGGCAGAGTTGGAAACTATAAGACAGACTCATGGGAGCACGGTGGCTCATGTCTGTATTTCTAGCACTCTGGGTATCGAATGAGCCAATCGGTATGCCTGGAAAGCTCTCATGGAGTGAAATGGAAATGTGTAAACAGGGAAATAGAGGAACACGAGCCTGCATATCCCGTTATCTTGTGTAGTCTTTGTATTTGTATAGTATCATATACTATAATATACTGTCTGTACTTGATGAGAGTGTAAAATGAGTATCAACGTGCTGCAGAAGCAATAGCTAAATTCTCCCCCCAAAGAAAATCTTAGAATTTAAAAGTTTTCATCATAAAATTAAAGATCTGCTAATTTTTAAATTCTCAGAAAGGCTTTAATCTTCTTTCCTTTTTACTTATATTTAAGTTTACTTCCATTATTTATGGGTATGTGTAGGCCATGTGTTGAGACTCCAGGACCTGGTTGTGAGCTGCCTGATGTGGGTGCTGGGAACGGAACTCTGGTCCTACGGAAGAGTGGTAAGTGCTCTTAACACCTACACATCTCTCTTGGCCCCGTTCTTTTCTTTTTGTTGAGATTTTATTATTTTTATTTTATGAGTGTTTACCTGCATGCTGTGCCCATGGGGCCAGAAGAGGGTGTTGGGTCCCCTGGGACTGGAGTTATAGATGGTTGTGAGCAGCCAAGTGGGAGGGAATTGAACCTAGGTCCTCTGTAAGAGCAGCTAGTGCTCTTAACTGCTGACCATCTCCAGCCCTTGCTCTTTCCTTTTTAAAAATAAAATTGAGGCTGGGCGTGTTGGCATATGCCTTTAAACCCAGTCAGTACTCAAGAGGCAGAGGCAGGAGGATCTCTGTGAGTTTGAGGCCAGCCTGGTCTACATAGTTAGTTTCAGGACAGCTACACAGAAAAACTCTGTCTTGAAACAACCCCCAAACAAAATAAAACAAACAAAACTCAATGTAATTAATTTAAAAATTACTTTTATTCTGAGATTATCCATTTTCTTATTGTGTTTATAAAGCAATAGAGACTAAAGTCCTTACCTAGCAGTTTTATTTTTTTATTTTTTTTGATTTTTCAAGACAGGGTTTCTCTGTGTAGCTTTGCGCCTTTTCCTGGAACTCACTTGGTAGTCCAGGCTGGCCTCGAACTCACAGAGATCCGCCTGGCTCTGCCTCCCGAGTGCTGGGATTAAAGGCGTGTGCCACCACCGCCCGGCCGCAGTTTTACATTGAAATCATAAGATTTTGTTTGAGAATCTTAGTATTTGATAAATAAAAATAAAATGTGAGGGGGCTGGAGAGATGGCTCAGAGGTTAAGAGCACTGGCTGTTCTTCCAGAGGTCCTGAGTTCAATTCCCAGCAACTACATGGTGGCTCACAACCATCTGGTGCCCTCTTCTGGCATGAAGGCATACATGCAGATAGAACACTGTATACATAATAAATAAATAATTCTTAAAAATAAAATGTGATTAAAAAAGAAAAATACAAGTCTTTAAAGAATCTACTCTGAATTTTGTTCCAGAGACAGACAAATAAAACAGTTCATCTATATTTTACCTTGTTGTGGAATGTCTGTACACTGTGAATATGTGTTGCTATGATTGGTTAATAAAGAAGTTGCTCTGGCCTATGGTGAGTCAGGTCATAGCCAGGCAGGAAATCCAAGGAGAGAGAATGGAAAGAGAAAGGCGGAGTCTGAAGAGATGCCAGCCCGCCGGCCAAGGAGCAACATGCCAGCAGACTGGTAAAGCCATGGAACATGTGGCAAAACATAGATTAATAGAAATGGGTTAATTTAAGATATAAGAGCTAGCTAGCAAGAGGCCTGCCATAGACCATACAGTTTGCAAATAATATTAAGCCTCTAGGTGGGAGGCTGCAGCACCTCAGGGCTGGGTGGGGCCGGAGAAAACTTTCGACTACATTACCTTTATGCAAAGACTGTGACGGAAAATGAGTATGAGCTAGGTCACTGTCCTCACAAAAGATCACTCCGTGTTCTCTAGAACGTTTCTGGTAGCAATGACCAATCTCCAAATATGAAACAAAGCAAGCATACGGCGGATACACAGGATGGGAGGACTCTGTCCTGGGAAGTGAGTTTGGAGACAGGCATAGGACACTGCAATGTTGAAAGATTTCCTGTTTTAAATCTTATCGTGTGTGTGTGTGTGTGTGTGTGTGTGTGTGTGTGTGTGTGTGTGTGTTGTGTACATGTGCACATGCCAAAGCTCTTGTGTGGAGGCCAGACAACTCTCAGGAGCCAGTCTTCTGCTACCTTGTGGGATCCTGGAATGAAACTCAGGTTGTCAGGCCTGAGTTTAAGCACTTTTTTTGTTTGTTTGTTTTGTTTGTTTGTTTTTTCGAAACAGGGTTTCTCTATGTAGTTTTGAAGCCTTTCCTGGAACTCACTCTGTAGCCCAGGCTGGCCTCGAACTCACAGAGATCCACCTTTAATCTCATCTTAATCCGATCTTTAATCCCAGTGCTGGGATCAAAGGCGTGCGCCGCCGCCGCCGCCGCCGCCGCCGCCGCCGCCACCACCACCGCCACCACCACCGCCGCCCGGCAGTTTAAGCACTTTTACCCACTAATCTATCTTGCTAGCCCAAAGGATTACCCTCTTCGGTATTCGAATAAAACTGTATTTGACACATGTGTATGTGTGCACGTGTGTATGTATGTACAGGTGTATGTGCACGCTCCATATGTGTGAGGAGGTCAGAGGGCAGCTCGCAGCAGTCAGCTGTCTCCTTTCACTGGGGCTTCTGGGAACTGAGCTCATGTTCTCGGTCTTGGGGGCAAGCACCTTCACCCACTGCACCACCACCGGCCCTCCTGATGCTTTCTCTAAAAGCCTGAGTGCTGAAGGACACCTGTGCCACCAAATGGATCACAATTCGGCCTCCTTCTGAGCATCCAGGGCCAGTGGACTACACACCTAAGCTTTGCTCAAGGGGGATTGCCATAATTCTCTTTGGTCTATTTAGTAAAATGGGTTAGTTACTACAAAAAGTTGTGTTTGTTCTAGAAAGCAGCCTAAGGAGAAAAAGATCCGAATCTTTTATGTCCAAGGAAACGTGGCGTTTATAGTTACACACTTCAAACAATAATATTTGAAATTTTATTCCTGATTAAATGGTTAGAAAATGTGCATATATAGTGCTTAGTGCAAAAACAATCTTGTTAAGGGCTCTGAAGAATGAACATCTCAAGGAGGGTGTGTCAGTCAAGTGTTTGGACTCCTCAGATTAACAGCAAGGGCTTTGCTATTTCTACTATACTGTGCTGTGCTCACAAAGACTGAGGAGGGCAGACAGACTTCAGAGGACTGGCAGATTACCTAGCTAACAAATACTCTGGAGGAAATTTTAAATTAAGTAAATACAGTAGGTGATGATGGTGGTGGTAGCTAATGCTTTTTCAAAACTTATTATTTGGGCTAGGGAGCTGGCTCAGATATTCTCTCTGACACACACACACACACACACACACACACACACACACACACACACACACACACACACACACACACAAATTTGTTTTTGGTTTTGGTTTTTCCAAGACAGGATTTCTTTGTGTAGCTTTGAAGCCTGTCCTGGAACTCACTGAGATCCACCTGCCTCTCCCTCCTAAGTGCTGGGATTAAAGGCATGCGCCACCATGCCCCGCTGTGTTTTTTAGATTTTAAAGAACTCAACTACGTGCTGTGCAGTCTTCTTCTAAATGCTATGAATGTAACCAATCAACTGAATCTTTACAATAATCCACAAAACTGGTGCTACAAGTATTCCCATCATTCAGGAAACATCACAGAAAAACCGAATAACTTGTCTAGTGAGGGACGAAGGCAGACTTTCTGGCTTCGGGGCCTACACTTTAACCCGTATACTAAGCATCACATGGGGGGAATATGCAAGGGTGGAGTCTGGTCGCTTCTAACAGCAAGTCCAGTACCTTGGATAGAGGTCCAGGTAGAACTGCCCCAGCACTTCTCCAGTAGCTTTATCCTTCACACTGTAGAGTGAAACGCTCTTATTCCAAACGTGAGCGTCCACCACTTGCTCAAATGACAGTCCCAACAACTCCTGGTAGATGCTCAGCAAGCCTTCCGTGACCACCTCGATGGGAAAGTATTCCTTGAGGAACTCCTGGTCCACTGAGTACTTGAGCTCCTCGGTCTGTGTCATGTAGTAATGGAGATCCCATGCATTGATTTTTCCGTCGTACTCAAATCCTCGCTCTTCACATTCCTTCTTCTTCAAGTTCAAAATAAACTCCCGTTCTGCTTCACCCAGGGGTTTTAATTTCTGGCTTAAATCATCTGTGAGGGAAACAGCAGAGTTAGTGATGTGTCCGTGGGACAAGCCCATTCACATGTACTGCTGGTTTTGTGCATGATCAGTCGGAGGAAACCATGATGAGGAAAGAGACTGATGGGGCAGAGCGCCCTCCAGAGTGATCTCATTGGTAACTCTTTCCCCCGTCCTTCACACCACCAAAACCCAGCCGCAGTTACCTTCCAATGTCAACAATGGCGAAGCTTACCTCAAGAACTCTGACCCAGGAATATTACAGTTCAGAACAAAGCAAAGGAAAAACTAAGCTTGAGTGCTTATTCCTCAGCAAGGCTATGCTCCTAAAACAACACCTCCTGTGACCTGCAGGCAACAACATCTAAAACTGCTCTGCACATTTGACCATGGGTCTGGCCTGCCTTCCCCAGGCCCATTCTGGGATTTATGGAGGAGGAGGAAGAGGATTTGGATAGCAGTTCTAGATTTCAGCTGAAGAAATTGCTGGTCACTACAATTGAATACTGAAGTCAAATTCTGATTATTTGCTTTAAAAAACGGACTGAACAAGCTCTTTTGTATTTCTTTTCACAACTTGTTAACTACGTGAAGATAAAGATATGCTTGGGTCTGTGTTGGACATGGGTTAGAGGAGGCCCAAAGATTTGTGAGATGGTGGCAGCCGCCCAAAGAATGCTGTGAAGAAAGAGAGCTGGGCCACCCTCCTGGGAACATGCCTCAGACCTCACAGCAGTTACCATCTCTGCTCTTTCCATCAAGTGGAGGCTCTGGGGAAAGGCCTCCATCCTACCATTTCTGTGCTTCTGCCATTCATGAGGCCTTCTGCTCCTACCCAAGGTAGTTACTTCCAGTGTCTCACAAATGCACAAGTGAATTGTAGGCTGTCACTGGTGGGGTACCTGTGATCGGTTGTACACGATTCCAGCACATACACAAGTGAACCATGACACCACTATTGAGAAACAGCGGTGGAGTAAATCTGGGGCTAAAAGCTGATTTCTTAACCTATTTTATCATTTTATTTTGATTCTTTAGTTTATTGAGACAGGGTCTATAAACAGTCTTATTAAATAAGAAACACAGAGCCAAATATGGAGTTAGAAGCCCAAGAGGTCAGAGCACTAGCGAAGAGCCAAGACCACCTTATCTTACCACTCGCTGCTATCCTTCCCCTAAGAGAGAGACCTTCTTCCTGTGTCCTGTCTTTTTATTGCTTTCCTGTTCTGCCTTCTCATTGGCTCTAAACCCAGCCACATGACTTCCTCATTACTGCCTATCTATACAGACCTCCTGGTCTCTATGGTTGGTACTGGGATTAAAGGCATGTGTCACCACGCTTGGCTGTGTCCTTGACCACACAGAGACTCTGCCTGCCATGTGATCTGATTAAAGGCGTGGGCTACCACCACCTGACTTCTATTCCCGGCTCACTAATGACCTCTGATCTCCAGGCAAACTTTATTTATTAACATACAAATAAAATCATATTTCAGCATAATTAAAATATCACCACAAGAGTCTCACACCGTAGCTCTCTGACATGGTACTTGTTACATAACCCAATTGGCTTCGAATTCATGGCATCCTCCTGGCTCAGTCTCCTGACTACTTGGATTACAGGTGTGTACTACCATGACCAGTTTTAATTCATTATTAATCAGTTCCAACTTAATGTTAATAAACGACTATCAAAGGTAAATTCTTTTGACATTTTGTCAAAGGAGAATAAAGTAATTTTAACAGCATTTTAAAGTTGGTGTTAGGTGTGGTAGTATGTGCTTTTAACCCCAGTACTTAGGAGGCAGGGCATACATTTGTGTACACTATGCATGCATCTGTGCTTACATGTGTGTGGGCACATGTGTGGAAGCCCAGAGCTGACTCTACACTTTATTGAAGCAGGGTCTCTCAAGTGAACCCTTGCTTGTTAACTGGCTGGCCTGGCCAGCCTGCTCGCCCTACGGATGCCCTGCCTCTGCCCACTGAGTATGGGGTCACAGGTGGCCACCATGCTTGCCTGGCTTTTACAGGGATGTAGGTTCCAGTCCTCATTTTTATGTAGTAGGCACTGTGTTCACTGACCCATCTCCCTGGACCAGAAACCTTAGCTCTTACTGTTTTCTCTTTGAGACTGGGTCTCACTGTGTAGCTGAGGCTGGCTTAGAACTCATGATGCAGACCAAGCTGGCCTTGAACTCACAGAGATCTGTTGGCATGCTAGGATTAAAGGCAGGGCCACCAGGCCTAGGTGATCTTACTTAAAAAGAGAAAGAAAAAGATGTATGAAAAAGACTTAAAATGAATGTGACTACAGTAATTAGGTAATTAGATGTACTCTATAGTACCTTTATATATTAAAAAGTGGACTTTGGAGGGTGAAGTGCCAGTTTTTTTATTTAGGTATGCTCTGTTTTCATTTTTACCATACCCTCAGCTTCTTTCATACATATATCAGTAGTCACTGCACAGTTTCAAAGACCTAGTGGCAGTGAGTAAAGGCAATGAACTAACAGTCCTGTGAGCCCATTCCCACTATGTGTAAACATAGAGTCACCGTCCCAGTAGATAAGAGATAGCAGCCCCAAGAGCTGTGAGTTCATCAAGGGAAGAGCTGAGAACACCCTTCTCCTGACACTAGGATTCCAAAGGCAGCCTAGGTGCCTGGCTGAGGCCGATGTTAAGGTGGTAGAATGCAGTAAGATGTCACAGGGCAAAGGAAACAAAAACCACACAACTGACCCTTGATAAACAAAGGACTGACCTAGAAAGGCTGCCACGTGGCTTGTGCTCTTTGCAGTGTTTAGTTCAAGGACAAAGTCAGCATGGGTGTTATAGCCGAGAAGTCTGGCCACTTGTGCGCGCAGTGGAAGGAGCTGTTGCAGAATCTCAGTGTTTTCCTAGTAACAGGAACAACAGAAACAGAAGAAAAGAATCAACTGGACGCAAAGCACTAAACAGTCACTGCATGAGTGAGGAGGCTGTGACACGGTCGGATAGTTTTAGACCATCGGAACTACTGTTTCCATTTCAGCACTGAGAGAATCTGAAAATGTGGTATGTTACTCCTGAAATAATTTATAACATTTACACTTCAGAGACAGCTGTAAGCTCTTCATAAACTCTAAGGTACTATAAACTATTTATTACCAAGGACATGCAAAATATTGTGGCTATTTGGTTCCTAACCTAACCCTTGTATTTCAAACTGGCACCAGTAGGACTCTATCTAGCAATCCCTTAAGACACGGCCATGGAAGGAAACAGTCAAGAAAGAACCCCCTATAAGCTAATGTAGGGGGCACGGAATACAACTGGTAAAGGACTTCTTGCCAAATTATTTTTGAAAATTTCTATATATCTCCCATGTTCCTGTTCCTCCTCGTCTTGTTTTTCAAAACAAGGTCGCACCAGGCAGGTATCCTTGGCTGGCCTGAGCTTGCTCTATGTACCAGGCTGGCCTCAAACTCAGGGAGTCATCTGCTTCTCTGGGCTTAGGAGTGTGCACTACTACACCTGGCTTGTCCTGGCCTTTTTTTCAAGAGTGTCTTCGCTCTGATGTGATTATTCTGTTCCTATTCCAGCACTGGGTGTGGGTTGGGGGTGAGAGGGCTAATGACGTGTCTTTCCTTTTGTAGGCTGCTACATCATGAGAAACTCAAATGGGGAAAACTGGATGGCAGAGCCCAATGTCTGAGCCCAAGACAATAAATGGACGACTGGGGCTTGACACACGGTCTATGAAAGACAAGACATTCATGGTTACTTGGGTAGCCAGGACTCTGGTGAGCTGGGTAGTTGATTCAGAATCAATTTTAATTCCGTCCTTTCAAAATAAAACTCCGAGCCTAGCAAACAGTTGTCAACCAAAGACTACAGCCTCCCTTGTAGCTAGATATGACTACATGGAGAGTCTGAGTTAACGGGTAGGACTGGAGTTGATGGGTGCTATCTGTACGTTGTTTTTTTTTTTTTCTCTTAAGTTTAAAAAAAAGTTTCTTGAGACAGTGTTTTAAAGATGTGTGATCTATACTTTCTCCATTCTTCCCAACAGGCTGACGAATAGTAATTTCCAGAATCTACCTTGGTAGTTACTTGTTAAGGAGGGAGAGATGCTTTACCAGCTTTGGACTTCAAATGCAGAAAATGAATACAACTTCTTGTTTGTTTCTATCTCTTCTATTTTCACTACAACAGTCTAGTTTGTGGCATGCCAACAAGCTGACAATGAAGAAATGAAAAGACTGGAAGTTTTGTAGGTGTGTGGAATTAGTCAACGCAATGCACATGCAAACAGGAACATCAGTTAATGAGCTGACTTCGAGATTGGCAAAATGAAGTATCTATCCTTTCCTTAAGATCTTCAGTTAGGATCAAAATAAAGACATTCATGGTACCTGTCTGCACCTGGTATGAAAAGCCATCTCCATCTTCCTTCTTGTTTCAGGGACACAACATTTCTTCATGACAGGAAAATAGTGGGGATACTTCAAGGTCACCTTGTACTTCTCACCATCTGTTTTTTCTAAACTCTCAATGAAGTCATCAGGAAGAGCACCTGCAAAAAGTCATTTTCTCATGCATCAATCTCCCACATATACAGGCTTACTGAGCATGGGCACAGTGCTTTCAGGCAGCTCGAGGGACCTGGTGTGGTGCCTGAAATCCAAGTGAGAGGACAATTGTACAGTCTTATTTGTCCTGTATTGGAATGGGGGAAGCAGTGATGGGCCAGGTGGCTGGGAGACGACAGTTTCAAACAGGAAACTGTTTCAGGGCACCTGTGCAGATGGTATTTGAACAGGCAAAATTAAGCCGAAAAAATAAAAGACCCCAGAGTAAGAGACTAGTTTACAGTGTGGGAGACATGGAGAGGCAGAAAAACTGTCAAGGCTTGAAGGCTGATAATAAACACCAGTGTAAGTTACCAAGAAAGATGAACCACGGGGGGGCTGGGAATCAAACCTGGGTCCTCGGCAAGAGTAGCCAGAGCTCTTAACTGTTGACCATGACTCCAGCCCTGATACTAGACAATTTTTAAAAGAATTCTTTGGATTTTAATTTAGGTTGGAATCTGCAAGGTGATATAATCTAATGTAGCAAACATCAGAATTTTACCAAGTTCAGCCTTGGAAAATACGAGGAAAGTATCATCCTCATTGAGGTTTTTATTGAAGTCAATGCATAGCTCACTCATTCTTTTCTTCATTGATTTGATTTCCTAAAAGGAAGGAAGACAGACAGGGCATTAACAATGAAAAAAACCTTTCATTTTCATTGCTATCGGCCAACATGTTTCAATTATACATGAAGTCAGGATTCTGTCTTCTCTCAGAAGTCCTTTCTTAGAAATGCACCCTGCAAAAAAGCTGCTGTCAGTCAGTCTGTCTACTACTGCCGAAATACTTTGCTCAACACTGTCTTAGAACACACCCATCACTCCCCCAATCTTCCCCCTTCCCATTCTACAGCAGCCACATAGTTCAAATAGGACCTGATAGTGAACATTCTAGGATTGTGCCATCTGTACCAACTAGGTCACTGTACCATCTTCCTGCAGTAATGACTGATTCCATGCCTGGCACCCCTCTAACAATTCTGTAAAAGCAATGGGTAGGAGATCCAAGGCGATGATAGAGAACCGCAAGAAAAAAATGTAAAATAATCTCATTCTTCTGACAAAGCTGGGTAACGCAATCTACTGGACACAAAGTAGTTCTCAAAGTGGGACTTTGGTAAAGGATCTGCTGTGGGGAACTGAGACCCAGAGACACAGCTCTATGTATGTCTGGAATGCTGGGGTTTAGGTTTGGCCATCTACCTCTAAAACCTTCCAACTTCCTTAAGTTGCTTAAATGCAATTCTGTTTGCTGCAACCAACCATAGCTTAATTACTATAATTTTCATGCACCCAAGAGAACAGGGGGTTGACTAGGAAGTCAAAGGGTGACACCATCCACCCAATTAGGATGACCAGGAAACAGAGTGATCAAAGGACAGTCAGGTGGCAGAAAGATGCTGACATCTCCATGGCACCTTCAACACTATCTTCCAGGATGACATCAGTCACCAAATAAAACTTGGTTTGGATGTCTGTCAAACTTATTTCTGCAGTCTTCAGGAATGACCTGGAAATAAATCAAGGATTTTATTTCCTGTCCAAATGAATGAGGTCAATTAAGCAGCTGAGCTTATCACAGAACCTGGAAGTCTTGATTTGACTCACCCAAGAAAATGTTTGAGCAGCGATTTTCAGTGGCTAATCTCTCTTCATGTAAGTGGTGTGTATTAATCACAGGGTGTCCTATCCTAAAATGCTGGTTTTCAAACTCTTTACCAGTATGGGTTTTATTAAGAGTGCCCTATCTCTGTGTGATCAAGATCAACCAGCTACTGAAATCTGGAATTTACTTTTTTTTCTTTCTTTTGCTTGTCTTCTATTTTTTTTTTTTACTGTCCATAATTCTCCATTTTTTTCCTCTATGTTTTCCTAGTACTTTTAGTTTATCCTGTTGGTTTTTCTTTTTAACAAAAACCTCATGCTTTCATTTTTAAAAATTAGTTAAATTAGTTCATTTATTTTACATCATGACCATAGTTTCCTCTCTCCTGTCCTCCCATTCCCTCTCCCACCTCCCCATACCCCCCACTATCTATTTGTGGGACTCTTAGCAGTGGGAGCAGGGCCTTCCCTGATGCTTTGGCAGGCTTTTGGGAACCCATTCCTCATACTGAGTTGCCTTGCCCAACCTTAATATGAGGGGAGGGGCTTAGTCCTACCTCAACTTGATATGCCATGCTTTATTGATACTCATGGGAGGCCTGCCCCTTTCTGAACAGAAACAGAAGTGGAATTTACTTTTTAAGAATATAAAACATAGCAAAGGAAATTAGCCTGATATACATAAAATAAAAAAAAAAAACACGGAGAGGATTAAAGAGCAGTGAGGTTGCCAGGCATGGTGGCACACATCTGTAATCCCAGCACTCTGAAGACAGAGGCAGAGGCAGGGGGATCTGAGTCTGAGGCCAGCCTGGTCGGCACAGCGAGTTCCAGGTCAAATAGGGTTACATAGTGAGATCCTACTTTAAAAGAAGGGGCCCAGGGGTAGGGTCGGGGGGGAGAACAATTGAGTTAGAAGTTGTTCAGTTACTAATGAGGTTAGCAGGAGTTTTAAGAGTTGAAGCAGGGGGTGGGGGATGGGTTAAGAGTGCTTGCTGTTCTTCCAGAGGACCCTTGTTCAGTTCCCAGCACCCACACTGGGCAGCTCACAACCACTCCTGTAACTGAAACTCTAGGGCACTGAGGCTCTTTTCTGGCCCCTGTGGGTATCAGCACACACACATACACACCCACAGACACACACATATAATTAGAAAATAAGATAAATCTTTATAAAAAAAAGTAAAAGAACCTAATATCAAATATACTGTAAATGGATTTTTATCATGAGTTATTCTATTAAAATTCATCTATTTGCCTATTTGTTGGTTCTGTTGCATTTTTTCTCTTTCTCCTAAATAAGAAAAGGACAGGAGTAGAAGGAGATAAGAGAGTATGTGTGTGCGAGAGTAATTAAGATGCATCTTACACATATGTATAATTGTCAAAGAACAACATTTATCAATAATAAATAAAAAGAAACATAAACTCACATTTCTTACTTGCTCTGAAAGATGGAGTCCATTCCTCTTTCCCATTTTAATTGACTTTTCCAAGTATCGCCTGGCTTCAGGCTTTATCTTCTCCAAATCACAGTTTTCCTGAAATTAACAAGCATGTCAGTCATTTCTGCTCTGATAGCATACAGCCAAACAATCAACTCCCAGGCCAAAGCCAGTGCACTGCATTCATCCTCTCTGTTGGGCCAGGAAACACAGGTGATTATGGGGCAGGCCCTCTTGGAGACCTAATTTCTTTTATGCTTTGGTGAGCTTCTGCTAATTTAAAACAGAAATACTGACTAAATCAAAAGCTAACCATGAACAGCCTTGCCCTGCCTCAGAACTGAGAGTGTGAGGCCCGGGAAAGCGTGTGATATAGATGCATTTGCATAGTCTCATTGTGAGCAGTCTTTACAAGCAAAGCTCTTTTTTACAACAGATTTCTTATTGCAAATCATCTGGATTTAATCTTCTATCACTTGTTAACCTGGTTCCACTTGAGATGCAGGAAGAGAAATAATGGGGTGAATTCTGCACAAATGCTAGGCACTCTCTTGCCAAGACACCAAACAAGGACAGCTGGATAAAACCCCAGCAAAAGGCTCCAATACTTCAAAAATGCCTTCCTGTCACTTGGCAAGGGAGATCAAGGGATCTAGCAGGCTGCATCTGAACAAGTATCTGGGGAAAATGAGTCAGCACCCCACAAAAACAGAAGGGAAGCTGCCCGCCTCCAAGTCTGAATCTGTATGCAGAAGCAAAGCTTTCACTCCAAAGAACAGAAGGCCCTGGAAGAGGCTGGGAAATTCCCCCAGTCAAGACAATAAAAATCCAAAAATCCAAAGCGAGTCACAGGATACTCGAGGTGTATCTAAGATGGCTGGTCAGCTCATGGTCCCTGGGAGGAAATGTGACTCCAGACAGACTCAGCAGATACAAAGGACTCACTTTGGCTGAGGGACAATGAGAGCCGTCTGTCACCGGAGCTTACAGACCTCCTGTCAGCTGGACATTTTCTCCATGAAAGACCAGGGCCATCCATCTCTGAGTGTGCCAACTTTCCCAACTGATTAGATTGTTAAATGAATGGTGTGGAGCTTTAGAAATGGCATCTGAGATGGCTGGTGACAGGTAGGTAAACAGAGTTGCATTTTCACTCAGCACCACTCAGAATAGAAACAGTGTTTCACATTGCCTATCAATGAAAAATCGGTGTCACAGTACCAAGCACTACCAACATTACTCAATGTTTCCTGAGCTTATTCTCAGCAGAGGGTAAGGGCAGTTAGACTCCTTTTTCCATTATAATCTCCCCTTGTGTCTCTGTGGAATTTTGAGTTGGGCATAACTGGAGGTGGAACTCTCCTGAGCTGGTTTTGGCACCTACTGGGATCCTAGCAGCAGGTACCTGCAATGGGAAGAAACCCAGAATGTCTAGGGAGACAACTTGGCTATAGACTGGCTCCCGCAGGGACGGTGAGCAGTTCAAATCACAAGGTTCATGCAGATGTCATTAACTGGGGCTCATCTAGGCTGGTTTCAGCAGCGCCGGGAAGTCTGTGCTGAAGTGTGAGCATGGCAACAGGAGTCTCTAGACAGTACGGCATTGCAAGTTGTAATGGGGGGTGGGAGGAGTGGGGGGTGAGGTGAGGGTGGAGCAGTATCTAGGCCATAGTATGTGTAGTATAGTGGGCAGGGCCTGGCAAGAGCTGGGTATGTTGTTAAGGACCTAGGAGGTTGAGATGTACAGCAGAGAGCCTGCCCCTGAGGAGCTGAGACATTAGGTTCTGAGCTTGGAACAACAGCTAATAATATGGTCTCATCAGCTGGTGTTGAGTGGCATTCATGGCTACCCCATGGCTGTACTTGATTACTGTGGGTTCTCAAGCTAGGTCTACTGTTGCTAGAGTCTTCCTGCCTGGCCCACAGTCAGGACAAATCTCTCTCACCCGCCAGTCCCAAGCCGCTCAAACCCGACCAAGTAAACACAGAGACTTATATTGGTTACAAACTGTATGGCCGTGGCAGGCTTCTTGCTAACTGTTCTTACAGCTTAAATTAATCCATTTCTATTAATCTATACCTTGCCACGTGGCTTGTGGCTTACCGGTACTTTACATCTTCCTTATCCTGATGGCGGCTGGCAGTGTCTCTCCTCCCAGCTTCCTGTTCTCTCAATTTTCCTCTCTGTTAGTCCCGCCTATACTTCCTGCCTGGCCACTGCCAATCAGTGATTTATTCATTGACCAATCAGCAACACATTTGACATACAGACCATCCCACAGCACTTCCACATCTGCAGAGAGAGTTCAAGAGCATATGTGTAGCATTCACAGTCTACATTAAAGTGAAAACCACATATTTTCAAAATGAGTAATACAAGTGCAAACAGGTAGAAGGATATTCTGAGGAAAACCAGCCTTGAACTGGGTCTAATTAATCCATCACCAATTAGCATACTGAAATACTTAACTTACCACAAAAACGACTGAACAAATAACCAGAGCCCCCTTGCCACCCAAACTGAGGTCTCAGAAAGTTTCCACAGGCTTGTGGAAGACTGAGGCCCTTCTAGAGTGCACTGCTTAAGCCCACTGCCGGGCGGCCAGTCACGCATGGTGTTACTGCCTCTATAATCCCCAGAACAGTCTGAATTCTCACAGGAGTCGCTAAATGGAAAGCTGCAAGGCTCTAGAGCAGTGCTTTTCAACAGCCCTGCTGCTGCACCCCTTTAACACAGTTCCTCATGTTGTGGTGACCCCCAACCGCAAAATTACTTTGTTGCTACTTCATACCTGTCATTTTGCTACAGTTACAAACTGTAATGCAAATATCTGATATACGACCCCCTGAAAGGGTTTGGGGTCTCGACTCCTAGGTTGAGAACCACTACTTTAGACTGTTCTGTAGACCTGCATTCCTCTGGCTAGCTACAGCAGCCTCACAGGTCTCCTCAGGAAAAGCTTCTCTTCTTCAAGGCATCTAACATTTAATTTGCGTGATGTGATAGTAGGCACCCTTATTTTTACCTGTGGGGATAAGGTTTATTTTCCCCCTGACAACTTCCCCCTCTAACAAAGAGCTTTTATATATGCTCATGTTTTACATCCCATGAATGCTTATAAAACCACTCTGTAAAGAAAACTGAGGTCAAATTTAAGATTTTCCCAAGACACAAATGTCTAACATGAACAATAGCAGAGTAAAATTCTTAAAATGCTTAGTTTACTGGTTTTTCCTTATTACTCCATCGTTACCCTTATTTCACTATAATTATTTAAAGTCTCACAATAAAAATAAGGTTTTGGTTAAGACAGAACCTCGCTATGTAGCCCCGGTTATTCTAGAAGTTGCTATGTAGACCAGGCTGGCCTCAAAGTCACAGAGATCTGCCTGCCTCTGCCTCCCGAGTGCTGGGTTAAACGCAAGAGCCATCACACCCAGCAATTTAATTGTTCTTTATCTTATTCTCTCCAAACCTTTGCTCCTTTAGCTCATAATTTTATTTTTTTCTTCACAAGAGCTTCATATATCTGGTTTCTCTCTCTCTCTCTCTCTCTCTCTCTCTCTCTCTCTCTCTCTCTCTCTCTCTTTTTCTTTCTTTCTTTAATAGTCTCACAATATATTACTGGCTGGCTGGGAACTCACTATGTAGACTAGGCTACCCTTGAAGTCACAGAGATCGGACTTCCTTTGTTTTCGGAGTACTGGGATTAAAGTCGTGTGCCATCATGCTTGGCCTGATTTTTTTGTTTGTTTATTTTTTTGTTTTTTTTTCAAGACAGGGTTTCTCTGTGTAGCCCTGGCTGTCCTGGAACTAACTCCATAGACCAGGCTGGCCTTGAACTCAGAAATCTGCCTGCTTCTGCCTCTCAAGTGCTGGGATTAAAGGTGTGCACAACCATACCCAGCCCTAAGAATTTTTTGTTTTTGGTGATTTTCTTTTTAAAGTTAAAAGAAGAAATTTTAATGCCGAAAGAACTCTGAAGATTGTTCCTCTGAATGCTATCTAAAAAATGGATTCATAAACTGAATTTGCTAATATTGAAAGACATCAGAATGTATTATGGGGTCCTACTGCACATACTAACATAGAACAGAACTTCTTTACTTCCTCCATTTGCAGTTTTAAGGCCCACACCCCCCATGACATTTATTGTATTAGTGAGGGATCCAGGGAAGACGACCTCGGGGAGAGGTCCGGATTCCTGGGCTGGAGAGACGCACAACAACCTGCCTCATGACCCATGTGCCACCACAGCTCCACCACATGTTCCACCAAAGGATGTGCCAGGCATTCACCACACGACACATGCATTTGAGGACACCGAGCACACACTACATGGGACACGTCTCTTTGGGAGAAACTGTAATCAGGATATACTGTATGTTCCATTCGGCATACACTTGCTGAGTCCCTATTTATCTCAGACTCTGGGGAAATAAAGAAATAGTTTCATATGTAAAACAAAACGATTTACTAACGGGTAATGTTAGTATTATGTACTAGGAGGGAAAAAGAGGTTACGTACTTACAGAGGCACAAAAAATTAAAGCAAGGGCACCAAGTCATGGTAGATGCTGACGGTGCTTTATATCTGGGTCCCCGAGCTTCTGAAGGCCTGACGAGACTGTCAGCAGTAAGCACTGGCTATGAAAGACTAGACAGAGTGTAAAAATTAGGCTTAGGATTGGGGTCTGGAGAAGGGGCTGCAGGTGCCACCATGGGCTGCAAGGGTGGCTGTGGGAGTCCGTTTTCAGGTTCCTTATGGTTTTACTCAGCAGATCTGCATAGAGAGGATGATTAGACCACGGGCCTGAGTGCAGGTGTCTGAGATGGTCTGCACTTGGCTGTGCTGGGGGAGGAGGTCTTTTACTCCAACCCTTGGCGTCTCTATAAAAACCCTGGGGCAGAGACAGTCGGGGCCGTTGGAATAGGTTCCAGGCCCTTTCGAGGCTATCCTGTATTTTCTATCTGTTTATCTCCACAATCCAAATTCTTTTATCTAATAGTTCCTGCTGCTTGAACTCAAGAAAACTCTAGGGAACTGTGGGGTTGGCGGGTAAACGCCCCGCAAGGGGAAAAAAAACAAAAACAA